TAACGATCTAGGAAAAATTATTTCCTTCTTTTCTTACCTCTTACCACTCTAAACCGTGGAATTTAAATGAATCCCGGTGAGCTCCAGTCACTATTATTATTTCTTTTTTTTTTTCATTAGCATAAGATATAGTTAGCCATTGCGAGGCAACTTCATCTTCATTTCTTCGGTCTACATAAAGTCGAGGACTTCTTCGGCTCTTGAGGAACACATCCACGTCGGCTTTTACAAACAGGATTCTCCAGACTTAGTCACCTGCAGTTTACCTGGCAGCATCCACTGCTTGAGATGAAGATGGATTACGGTAAAATGCGACGGAGGCAAACCCTCTCTATCATTCGGTTTTTCTTCCTCCCAATGACTACCAGTGTTGAAGTCTGGTGGCTAAGAACGTGTGGTATTTCTCGTTGATGATGCTGAATCGTTCGGTAGCGTGCAGTGATGCGATTCGACAGGGACGCAATGTTAGTGTCGATTGAACAAACTCAGGCTCAAACTTGGAAGGGCATAATGGCGTAGGAAAGTCCTTGGACATGCCGGGGAGAAATAATTTGTTCGGTTTTTGGCCGGATTTTTCCAGAGATCTTGGACTATCTTGGACGGTTTTTGACCTACTTTGGTCTGCTCAGTGAGAAGAGGTGAATAGGCCAAATACCGACCGAAATGCATTTACCGTTCGTCGAAATTCTTACATGTTCTTGATAGATTTGAAAATATTTTCAGTCATTGGACTTCGAAATATTTCAATTTATGGTACTTTTGGAAAAATCCTGAATGCCTGGACTTGGAAAATTTTTTGCCGACAACGATTTTCTGAGATGTAAAAACTGAAAAAATCAGTGTTACCAGATCGTGACCCATTTAAAATTGTACAGATTTTGGCTATAAATCGCCAAAATCTGGCAACCCTAGAAAAAATGGCAATTGGTGGAAATTATGGCTGCAGTGTGTGCCAACACAGAATCCTTAAAAATTTTAGGTTTTGTCATTCCGGCCGTACAGTGCATCACTGCCTACAGCCGTTATGACAATAAATATTGTTCGTCACACGGCCTAACAAAACGTTTCTAGCTCATATGATTACAACCCTCGCCTTCGGCTCAGACTGCAAACGGATCCCGAGTCGAATAATTGGACCTGACAAGTTCTACTTAGGTCTTTCCGTTCAGAACTGGATCGGTCTTGGGAAGCCTCTTCCCAAGTGCTTCCGAGACCTTTCTACCTCTGGTTATGTCCCATTTCAGCACTTGTTAGGTGTAAGCAGGGCTTGTATTCAGACTTTCCAAATCCTTGCCGATCCCCGTAATTCTATGGGCCTATATTAAATCTGCGTTCATATCCCTGTTTACTCATGCGTTATTGAAATAAAAAATGCAATTATTGTTTTTTTTTTTAATCTCGAAAATCGACATTTCACGAGAGGGTGGAGGGGAGATGCATGTATGTGGAGGCTTGACATTTTTACCCAACAAGGGGAGAAGGTTGCAGAATCTATTCTAGCCACTCTTGTCCCTCCGCTTGCATGCATTATCCAAATCAAAAATGAAAGTGTTAACAAATCTGACCCTTGTTCCAAGTAAAAACCGAAAATCTGACCCTGTGGCCCCCGGTGAAAAAATTTTTTTTTTCAGTTTTCACTTTTTCCATATACTTTTGATAGTTCTGACTAGCCCGTCGCTTAAATAGTTGGAATCAACGTTCACCCGGCTAAAAATTTCGATTTTGGTGAAAAATCCAAGATCTGACACTTCGACCCTCGTGACCCTTGGACCGACTTTCCCCCCGGAAAAATCCAAGATCCGACACTTTGGCCTCCGGTGAAAAATTTTTTTTTTCATTTTTCACTTTTTCCACATACTTTTGATAGTTCTGAATAGCCCGTCGCTTAAATAGTTGGAATCAACGTTCACC